AGAGAGGGAGGGGACGATCAAATAGGAGATTCCAGAAGGAACGGGACAATATAAGAGAAGGGCCACAATGAGTCATGGGCTTGGGCAAAGACAAAAGGGCATATGGGCTGAGTCAGGCAGACAGCACAACACGAGCCAGAGGTAATAAATAGCAGACCAAGCTATTAAATGGGATGGGCCAAGGGCCAGTGAGGTGGACCAATACCTACTCACAATGTGCCAATCAGACTCCATATTATAAACTAACAAAATTTTATGGAAGTGAGATTGTTTTCACCATACTCTCTATAGAGTTGTTGTTGATGATGTGTGTTTGCAAAAAATGGTGTGTGTTCACAATAAATTAAAGGAAAACCCCTTATTTATAGACTAAACAAGTTATTGATTCAACATGGAATAGTTAATATTAGCCTCACAATTATAATTGAAAATTTTAATTATTTTGGTAATAACTTGCTAGTCATGAATACTTAGAGATTATATATTCAATTATTTTCAATTCCCCTTTGAGTATTCATTTTCTAATTATTCCTAAATATTAGATATCTTCTTATAACCCTTATCATGGGAAACCACAATGGGATAAAAGTCACAGTTAAGGAACGAAGAGTACATTACTTAATTCTATATTATTATAATGTACTAGCTCGTTAAAAACTTTATCTGAAAATATCCAATAGAATAAAAATCTGAGAAAAGGAGAAAAAGGTGTAGTGCAATAATACCCTCCAATTTAGCACATATATAGAAGATGACACAATTCCAATATTGTGTACAACTTATTATTTTAGATCTTTGATTGATAATTTTCAATCATGGCTCTGCGCTCTGTTGCTGAGTCGGTCTTGGATCGGACGACACTCCCACTTGTCCCTTCCCTGTAAAAAGTTGAAGGGTCAGGTGATTCACGGTGAGAATGTACCTTGTCAAGAGAGAGCTTCCCAGGTTTCTGGAAGGCGGTGTCTTGGGCGACGATGCCTTCGTCATTCCTGATGACCATGATTAGGTTGGTGAGAGGAGGAAATATTGGAGTTAGGTTCTTACTCATCCTAGGGATGAAAGCATTCAAGGAAACAGGGTTTGTTACCAGACTGTTTAAGAAGATCGCGAGTGCGGTATGGACATTGAAGGCCAGGGTTGGGGGCATGTGTTGTTGGGAGTCAGGAGTCAGATCGATTCGCTCTTTCCTCGGGCCTTGAGCTCGATGCGAGCATGAAAGGCGTTCTGCTGAACGGGGGTGCAGAGGTCGACAACGACATGCTCCTGATTATCGAGGGTTGCAGCTTCCTTGACGATCCTCTGGCCTAGCCGTGGCGTTAACCACTTCAATTCTTCGTGAGTCTAATGGGGTCTACAATGACATGCTTGGGACCTCTTGTCTTTCCCATTAATTCTTAAGGGTTGTTTTCTGTTCAAGACGGAGGGTATTGACTTGATTGTTTTTCTTTCAACGAGAGCATCAAATGATGAATAAATGATAGACAATGGCTCCCATGTAGACAGAAGTGAGAGCTAGAGAGACAAGTTATAATGGTATTAATGAAGTTTCAACCCTTACAAAGCTCCCAAAGGAGAGTATATATAGGGTTGGGTTGCTAGGCTGGGCCTAGCTGGCCCATTTACATTAAAAGGGCTAATAGATAGTGCATAAGGTAATCTATGGATGGATGCTATGAAGTGTCGTGGGGTCATGGCGAGGGCCTGTTTCATAGTTGCCTGTGGATCATGGAGTCCAGGGTCAAATGCTCCACTTTCTTCCTTGCTAGATTTGTCATATGAGCTCATAAAACTCTCTTAGCGTGCTACACTTACTTAGTTTCTCGAACTTCATCTATACTAGTATCATACTCGTGCGATGCACGAGACATATATTTTATTTGATTATTTAATGTTTGTACTCGTATGAGATAATAGTCGTAGTTGTTGCAAGGGCCAACTTTAAAAAACCACTTACCCAATTCTTTTATACAAAAAGTCTTCAAAGTTGATGATAATAATAATACGTAAATATAGATTACTGCGTGTGAAATAATTACATACTTATAATTAATCTAAATGTTGTTTATACAAATGTGACCTCTAAAGAGTAGTGATTATAGTACTCCCCCTATTCCACTATCTTTGTCTTGTTTTACCTTTTTCATTCGCCCCACTTAATTTGTCTCATAACATATTTGATAATATGTGAGTGATTACAATTCATTCTTATTTTATTTACACTTTACAAATTCAATATCAACCACACAATCCTAGTGTATTTTTCTTAATAACCTATCACTCCATCTTCTAAAACTTAAGGGGGCAGATGTAGTAGTATTTTTGTCAAAGTAATTTATGTACAAGTTTTATGCTTAAATGACTATGAAACTACATTACAGTAATTATTAGGCATACTTTAAAAAACTAATTTCAATAATATTTTTGAAAAAACCTCAATATGCACTGCATACAAACATAAATAAAGAAATTTTTCAGAACAAATTTAATTACACTTTTTGAAAAATCCTATGATAACACACCGTTGATTTTATCCTTTAGGTGAGCCATGAGTACGTATCAACATGTAACTATTTGTATGCTTGAAAGTTTTACATAAACAAAAAACATATGGGCTATAATACTCCTTTTTTTACCGGGGTAATCAGCCAATGAGATCTCTCTGCGGCATGGTATGTATATACCCATTTTCACATCACATAAACCCTAAGGGCTAAGTGTCTATATATGTGCAATTTTTTTTAATGGAACTGAGCTCTAAACTACTATATGCTGCTATCAATTTCTCTGTCAAAATATTCAATCTCTAGTTAAGTTCTTATCTCTTTTTCCTATCACATTCTTCATCTTCTAGACTTATATACTACTTTCTCACATGTAAAATCAGTGTCTCTTCTCATAACTCGCAGTGAAAGTGAGTCTACCGTTTATGAAGTATGTTGTACTCTTAGATATTGAAAGTGAGATTACTGTTTATGAAGTATGTTGTCTTAGATATTGAAAATATAATTGCTTTTAAATGATTATATATACGACTAATTATATTAAAAAAGTATGTGTTTTTTAACCGTACTAAAATGTGTTAATAAATTCAGTTTCAGGATATTATTATCAGATATTGTGCATTACATAGATATTCAGAAGTCAAAGTAGTGAAATGCCAACTACCTTTAAAGTAGCTGCTTGGAAAATAGTTATAAAAAGTTAATAAGTTCGATCAAAACGTTTTCCTCGAATCATAAAATTTCGGATTTTATAGGAAGAATAATTTTGGACATTTGAAAGCATAACGTTTCAACTGTAAAGCTAGTTGTCACATGGCTTACTCAACATCGTTATTCGTTTATAACATTAAAAATTAAAGAAAAAACATTTTAATTTGACTTAACTAACTCTAAATAAATATATATCGATCGAATCAATATAATATGACAACGTCTTCCAAGTTCCAACTATTTATTGTAACTTTATAAGTGTAATGCTATATATAGCTAGGGATATCGTAAGTGTTAAAAGGATTGCACATTTGTACACAAAATTGAAATTGTAACTAGCTTAGAAGGATAGCTTTCTAAGTTTAACTGTCAAGAGGATTGAGAAAAAATGGTGTGATTTAGTTAAATTTCCAACATTGAAAAATAAAAAGAATAAAACACATCCTTTTTCTTTTAAAAAGGAATGTGAAGTTTTATTTTAGAAAAATAGAACAGAAAGTTGAAAAGTTTTGAGGACTCCACTAGCTAAGTAGTAAACAGTCTCAATATATTTAACTCACATCATATTTGATTATATTGACGTGTCTTAAAATTAGCATACTTTTTCATAGTGCACCCTTGAGGCGTAAATTGTATTTCAGAATCAATAATACAATCAATAAGGATCTTTTTACTTGGACTGTAATTTGTTGGTCTGGTCTGAACTGGTCTGGTCTGGTCTGGTCTGGTTTCTTTGTATTTTTATAACTATCCAAGTCTGGTTTGGCCTGAACTGGTCTGGTCTGGTCTGGTTTCTTTGTAGTTTTATAACTATCCAAATCTGGTTTGGTCTGAACTGGTCTGATCTGATCTGATCTGGTTTGGTCTGGTAGGAATTACGGTTCAAGTAAAAACATCCTAAGTGCCCTAACCTGAATTGCAGGAACCAGGCCGGGAGGCTCTTCCTTTGCATTACCTAGCCTCCCATGGTCCTCAAAAAATGAAAATTAAAGAATAAACTCGACAGTGCTAATGCAATTGGATATTATATTCTTACACATTGTTAAGTTGTTAATGGAGAACTAAACATGTACAAAGAGTTCATAATACAGATGAATTAACGAAAACAAATTGAGTTGCATAGGCATACTTTGCAGGCAATAGTACTCTTGATAATATTGGTTGTATTCTTTTTTAAAGCTTTCCAAACTTCCCTCACTAATATAATGCACTACGTATATATCAAGACAAACACCTATTCGAGAGAAACTTCTATCTATACCCATCCACCATTACCTTATACTCTAATTTTCACACTCAATTGTATTGGTTTTAATGAGATATTATTAATATAAACAAAGTTTATTGATTAAATCATGGAGAAAGATTCAATGAATGAAGTTTAATAACACAATATTCACGTTGTTATAATATTTTCCATTGGTCAAGATTATCTTTTTGTATATGTTTTTGTTATTCTTGAAGTATTTGACAAAACAACATATCATACATCACTCTAGCTACAACTCAATTAAACACGAAGTATATATTGAGTTTATTGAAGTGGTGTAGCTACTGGGTCATATCAGGTTCGGGCTCACCAACATTTCGATTTTTTCAAAATACTAAGATAAAAGAATTCGCACAAAAAAGTGAGAGTGAATCTAATATAGATTCATCTATTTAAAAGCACTTGATGGAATGAATAATCGATCACATATACGGAGTATATGAGTACAAAATAAAAGTAATACTGCATTTAATTTTATTTAATATGGAGTAAATGAGTAACTGGTTATGGAACAGATAGTACATACTCCGTTCCGTAGATAGAAGTACATTAAAAAGATGAAAAATGAGTAGCTGTTTGGGGAAACAAATGCTCCGTATGTAATTTGAATTACGAAAACCTATGCTTTACGCACCTCCCCTTGTTCGCTTTCTGTCATTCCGTTTTCCATCTCCAACGTACGGAGTGCGTAGAAGCACCACTAAAACTATCTATGAATCCATTCCGTCTCTCTTTCTGAGCTCGTCTTCAAAATTCCTCCGTTTCTTGACACCATTTTTTGAAATCTGGGTTTCGAAATACCTATACATACTTGGATATACTCAACTTCACGATGGCTTCTAATATAGGGATTATGGATAGTGCCTACTTTGTGGGAAGGAATGAGATTCTTTCCTGGATCAATTCCAGGCTTCAGCTTAATCTTTCTCGTATTGAGGAGGTACCCATTTCAAAGTTTCATCATTTTTTCAGTTAAATGTTATTTTTCGATTCAGAAGCTCTTATAGTCTGTAATGCTGTTAATCAGAAGCGCATTGCCTGCTAATTTATTTATTTACTATTTTATTTTATTTACCTATTTTTCATTCACTCTCCGGTTCTGTTATTTTCTATATCTACACAAATTTGCAACCTCTGCTATGTTCCTTAGAAAAGAAGTTTGGGGTTCAAGAGGTGTGACTGGAAACGTGGTTAAGTCTTGGGTATTCGATTGCTTCCGGACAAGATAACCAATCGACTATCATTGTTTTCTTAGACAATTAAAAACGAATGTAAAATTTGGCATTAGTGGTTTGGTTTATAATGTTATCTTGAAGAACTGGTGACAAGTCTATTTTTGTTTGGTAGAACTGGTTTGTTGTTTGGTAGATCTTGACTGTCAATGACTATGCACACTTGTTTATATGAGATTTTGTAAACATGGTTAAGTTTGGCATCCTATCTTGAATGTCTGAAGGCAGCTTTCTTGTGTATTTCTTTTAAGGTGCCTGCTTTGAATAAATATTCGTTTGTTTGTTTGTTTGGAAATGAAGTGACTGTTTATAACTCCCTCTATCCTAAAGAAAAATTGCAGTCTCCAAAATCTCTTTTAGTACCAAAGGAAAATGACTGTTGGGACTGTTTCAACAAATGAAGCAAATTTCGGTTATGTATCGTAATTTCTTGAATAATTATCTCTGGGAAGTTAAGTGTAGTTTAGCGGAAGAATGTGTACATAAATTAAATTCACGATTCTCCAAAATTTCGAAGCTTTTTATTGATAAATCATTGGTCCATTTTTTACGGAACAGTGTTTGTATTATATTTATGCTTGGCAGAATCAAAATATTAGTTTTCTCAAAGAAGGTATATACAAGGTATGTACATGATACAATAGAGCTAATGTGATTTTGTTTTCTCAAAACTCATTTTGCTAGGCTGCATCTGGAGCAGTGCAATGTCAGATGATTGACATGACTTACCCAGGAATTGTTCCGATGCATAAGGTGACAAATTATCATTTAATCTCCCTCTCTTTCCTTATTCATGCTTGTTTATATCGACTGTTGCATTTTCAAAATTTTCATTGTATAGGTGAACTTCGATGCAAAGACAGAATATGACATGATCCAGAACTATAAAGTACTGCAGGATGTTTTCAACAAGCTTAAAATTGAAAAGGTAAATATTTTTTAATGTGGATCAGCGGATGAGACTTTATTGTTGGCCACTTACCACAGAGTAATGATCTACTAGTACTGCAGGAAATTCTTACTTATTCTTATAGGTGTAAGATTAGAAATCTCTCTTGTCAGTTAACTGATATAAATATTATTGGAAAAATGATTTTGATACTGTTTTCCATGCCAGAACTTGGTCCTAATTTGTATGCAGTGATAATTTGGTCCATTCCATTAGAGCTATTTTGTATGACTTTATGTTATGAGTATGCTATTTGCAGCAATTAGATGCTTAACTGCATCAATGTACTTAATTGTAGATAATTTTTTACACTAAAAACTCATGTCATCTTTTCCATGCCGGTTGCAGCACATTGAGGTCAACAGGCTAGTTAAGGGTCGGCCATTGGATAACTTAGAGTTCTTACAATGGTTGAAACGTTATTGCGATTCTATAAATGGTGGCATCACGAATGAGTAATAAGACCTCAGCTCCTTTGATATGCTTTTGGCATCACAGCTTTCTTTTAATTTTGCTCATATTGTTCTAGTTGCTTATGAATATCCTAGGAATTATAATCCTGTGGAACGGAGAGGTAGGGGTGGGAAGGAACGGAGTAGTAAAGTTTCTCAAAGGAATACAAAGTCCCTACAAACAAACAACTCTCACAGCACAAGCTTAGGGGATGGAGTTGGCTCCACTAAGATTTTAGGTCAGCATGACAACTCACACTTATTTCTTTTCTATTCCTCTTCCAATAATCTTCAACTCACATGAACATTTTGTTTTGGCTGATAGAGTCCAACCAAGCGAAGCCACACATAGCAACAGCTGCAGTTAATTCTCCAGCAGAGTTTCAGGCATTGTCAAAGGAGGTAAATTATCTGCATTGTGCCAGTCTCACTTCTAAACTCTGTTGACTGCTGTCTAGTATACTGGACACTCTCCGATGACAATATACATTGCTAATTTCCTTGAATTTCTTTATCTGAGTCGTCAGTCTGCATTCAACTAAGTATCTTAATTTCAGTTTGAATAATAACATTCTGGTAAAGCCGCATTCAGTAATGTTATTAAGTAGCATGCACATTATTCGAAAAAAAATGTAGCATGCATCACAAATGCACCATTTTCTCACGGATCCCTTCTTTACGGAACTATCTTTTCTTATTTCACCCTACATCCATCTTTTTTTTTTGAAAAACACCCTACATCCATATTAGCATACACATCTTAGCTAGCCAATGGGATCCTATTTGAACAGGATCCTCACTTCCCTTTCCACCTTTCCCAATAAGCGTTGAACCCCATAGGCACCAAAACTCCAATGGGATGACTGATTATCTCAGTAGGTGACTAAGGTGGCAGAGTTGGAACAGTACATATCTTAATTTCACTGATTAGATGTTTTGTGAATGCACCAAAATAGAATAAACAATATTAATGTGTAAATTTAATTAAAAGGTATGTTGTATTGTCGAGTGTTAATTCTGATATATGCATTGCATAGATTCATATATGAAATATATTCATTTTATATTCAGATATGCATTCTTTTTACATTGGGGAAATAACATTCAATCATACAATACCAACTATCACCCATTAACTAATAATAATGCACACTCTAAAAATCATAGTAAACAATATCAACTATTTAAACACATTCATTTTCATTTACCCCAGTGCCGCAAAGGCTTCCACCTACGGTGGGGTAAGGGGGGTCGGATGTACACAGTCTTACCCCTGTACTAAAGCACAAAGAGACGGTTTCCGGATGACCCATGGTGAAAATCCCGTCCAAAATTGCATGGACTGAGTGCTGCTTCATAACAAAGAAGCGCAGACAGTTTAGTGAGCCATTTTGCTTTATTCCATCATAATCTCAAGCCAAAAAATAATGAATCTTTGGCTCCATTGCAAATGATGGAAGAAACTATTTAAACACATAACGAAAATAATATGGAGCTGCTTTTCTACTATGAAACCGGTCATCTAACTCGGAAGAAACTGATATTATACCATAATTTAACCGTGTTTGAAAACATGGTCCTTTATGTCATGGTTTTACATTAGTTTTTTATGAGTCAAATGATCAGATCTGTAGCAGGAAAGTGGCTTTGTATCTTTTATGTTATATATTCAAATAGTTAGCATTGCTTGAATTCATTCATAAAGTGTGTTATTATGAGTCTACACGTAATACATGATTAGTTGATTCCCTCCGCCCCAAAATGACGGCCTTATACTTTTGGGTTCAAATATTAAGAAAGCGTGTAAGAATGATCCATATACCCTTATTTTATTTTACTGTTCTCTCCTTACACTTTTTACGTGAATGAGGGAGGGTAAAATGCTAATCTACGTTAGTTTCTTTACCAAAAACGGAATCAGTACTATCATTTTGGGAGAACCCAAATTGGAAATACAGGACCATCATTTTGGGACAGAGGAAGTATTATTTAAAGTTATTTTCCCTTTTTATATTCATTTTCCACGGATTAAAAGTTTGATCTTGTTGGTTTCTTGATAACTTATGTGAAATTACTTTTATCATGTGCTTATACAATTTGTACAGGTTACAGAACTCAAGCTCTCTATAGACCTTTTGGAGAAAGAAAGGGATTTTTATTTTTCAAAATTACGTGATGTTGAAATTCTCTGTCAGGACCCCGATGTAGAAAATGTCCCGGTAATCTATGAATTTTTCATCCACCTTACTTCAGCTTGGGGCTTACTTTTACTTGGCATATTGTTATAATATACACTCAAGCAACATGCTATTCGTATAATTTACTACATTACAAATAGTGCAAGTTTCGATTTACTGATCGCTTTAGTTTTTGTAAAAGCGATTTTGATTCTTCAATTATACACGTGCCACAAAGTCTCTCACCTACGGTGGAGTAAGTGGGCGTCGGATGTACGTAGTCTTACCCAGGGGCGTATCCAGGGTAGGGGCAGGGGGGCAGCTGCCCCCACCCAACCCCACCCAACCCTTATATATATATATATATATATCCAATTTAAAGTTATACATATATTTTGTTCTAAATAAAGGGATCTTATACAATAAGTACGAGATTTTAACTATACACATTAGTGGCCGAACGGAAATAGGTGCAGGTATAAGTTGTACCTCCTACATGAGGTCAAGAGTTCTACTCCTACCTACAACAGTTTTTGTTTTGTTTTGTTTTTTTTTCTAAGTGGTTTTACATTATTGTTTTTACTTTTTTCTTCTTGGAAAGATCTAAACTACATCAATATAATTACAATTCTAGTTTCACTTATGAACTGATTTTTTACATAATATAACTATTTTTTTTAATATACTTGTGAATTTTAAATTTAAATTAATTCTAACTAGATGCTTCCTTCTACTCTTAGTTGATTCATTTATATATCGACATAATTTTGCACAAATTACAGATTCTATGTGATAAAATTATTGCTAACAAAGTGAAATTTAATTAAACATGATATCATAATGTTTTTGACGAGAGAATATTTTGTTATTTATAATTGGTTTTACAATTTTTTTCTTAATCTGATTAGTTTTATTTTTCTAGTAATTTGTTTTCTTAATCTAAGGTAAATTCGCCCCCGCTGGCCTATTTTTCTGGATACGCCACTGTACTCTTACCCCTGCGCTAAATCACAAAGAGATTGTTTCCGGATGACCCATAGTGAAAATCGCGTCGAAAATTGCATGGATTGACTGTTAGAGAGTCATTTTGCTTTGTTCCATCATATTCCCAAGCCAAAAAATAGTGAGTTTTTGGCTCCATTCCAAAAAGGAAGAGCTGTGATAGTAGTATTCAAACCAGTACTACAAAAGTGGTTTGTTTTTTGAAGAAGAGTAACTTTTGATGGGGAGTAAGATAGAGAAAAATCCATAAATAGGATTAAAACATAATGCCATTCTTTGGTTCTTCTAGAAGAATTATTAACTACTTTGGTTCTTCTAGAGATGAATCAGTACAATTTTGAGCACAAAGTAAGAATACTTCTTCGTGTGCAAATGACTAATGTTTTACAATGATTAATATATTTTCGGATATCTGAATTTGAGTTATTAGTTTCAACTGTTTCTTCCATTGTGTTCAATAAAGTGCACATTTTGCTGAATTATACGGTTATACCAATGGATCCCATTAAATGAGCTTCAAAGTTGTTGCAGATGGCTGTTGCAATTAAGAAAATTCTGTATGCAGCTGATGAGAAAGAATCTGCTCTGGCAGAAGCCAAGGAAATACTGAACCAATCTGCAGATGCTGCTGATGAAGCCGAACCAGAGGATCATGAAGAAGAGGCTGAAGAGTGAAAGTTAAAGATTAGAGAGTGCTGACACCTATATACTAATACAAGGGTCAATTAACCAGTTTAGTAAATTCTCATTTCCTTAAAATTCGTAAACCTTCTTATCTATCAGTTCCGATCTTCTGGATGATCTTATAGACCATGGAAGTGACGCTAATATTTTGGCCTTTTAGCCCCAATTATTAGACACGTGAACTCCACTGCTGAACTGTGTACTGGGAATCTGATTTGCGTGTGGTAGTAACTAGTAAAAGGATTGCATAAAAATATTGTGATAGGCAGTGGAGGAGCTAGAAAAATGATTTAGGGGGTCGGAACTCAACTAAATACAGAATAAAAAAGGTGGATAGTTTTTAAACAATAATAGGGTTGAATTTTTCTTAGGTAGCTTAGATAATGATAGTTTAAACTTTGAATAGATCAATAGAGTTATAGATTTGATATATGTGAATAATGAGTGAATTAGATGTTATTTTTAAAATTTGAAAATATAATTAATAATACACATCAAATTTTATTCGTTTCAAGCTTAAATAGTGTTAATCTCCAGGGATCGTAACTTCTTACTCGTAATGAGTTAGGGGAGTCATAATGTATCAAATCGAAGGTATTTTAGTGTTTTATATTCTTAAACATTTAGGGGGATCGGCCTACCACCTTTACGGCTTTACCCCCTTGGCTTGGCTTTGCCCCTGGTGATAGGTCGTATGCATGCATGATGCATGTGTATATCTGCCTCAGAGTGGGCCTTTCCAGATCGGTTTGGCGTAAATTGTATGGACCATGAGCCAGGCCTGTACACTATTTGAAGGGATGGGTGTGTGCTTACGTACTTAACTCAATCTATCCTTTAGGCCCAACCCGTATAATCTCACACAAGTCTGACCAAATTGGCCCAATCACCCGGACCTTGAGTCTAAATAGGATTATAGCGGTGTGCACAATTCGGTAAACCGACTGAATTAGATCGATATCGAAATTTCGGTACGTACCAAATACCGAACTGAAATTTCGGGTCGGTATATATATAAATATACACACGTGCACGTACACACACACACACACACACACACACACATATATATATATATATATATATATATATATATATATATATTTGGTTTTTGGTATGTACTGAATACTGAAATATATAAAATATTAAATATATAATATATTTATATATTTTAGCCTTATATATATATTGTTATGTATTTATATATATTATACATAATATATTTAAATATTTATTTATAAATTATTACATACATATTGTTGAATGCCTATTTGGTAATTCGGTTTTACCGATTACTGAACCGGACTTTTTTCGGTTTTTACCGAACCAAATCGATTTAGTTCGGTTCGGTATTCGGTATGTGAATATGACCGAAATTTCGATTCGTTTCGGTTTCGTATTACCGAATGAACACCCTTGGCCGGGTCTATACCAAGAAGTATTGAGGTATGCTATTATATCCTTCTCATATGTTCTTGATTTGCTAATTAGTCCAACTTGAGCTGCAACTTTAGAATCTTGTAGATGCAAGTGGTTCAGTGTCTAGCAGTCTAGGAGACATGATCTAGCTTTATTTCAAGAAGAAATAGCCTAGACGCTACTTTGCTTAACAGATTGTAGTATTGTACATTCACAAAATCATTAAAGCAAGGCATCCCAATAATGAATCAAGAGAAGGCATTAATATTTTGGGCGGACTAATTTATTATGGATACACTAGCTATTCTCGATTGGGAATTTAGGATGGACACTAAACAATTTTCATTTAGTTATTGACGGCCGGTTTTGACCCTGGAATACGATGAACCTCAATGGGAATTGATTATAGTCGGTTTGATTTTGGTCTGATTTGAATTCAACTCTAACCGGTTTGAAATCGGAATCGCAAAGCAGTTGTTTTTTAAAACAAGAGAAAAATACTACTCCCTTTGTGCCAATATAAGAGTCCCAATAGCCTTTTGTAGTAGTTTAAGGTGTTTTATAGGGTACTATTGATAAAGCAAAATACACGGTAGCTAATAAAGATAAATGCACTATAGTGAAGAGAGAGAGCGAGGGTTGGGTGGGCTAAACGCCGCAATCAAACAAAAAAAAATGGTGGAAACGTGGCAGTTGGCACTAGTTTAAAATTTTGGTGTGAAACGGCCTCTACAATTTATGATTCTATAAATAGAAACATTTGCATTCAAATTTCAAAGGTCAGGACTCAAAATAATCTTGATCATTTACGGTGGGGTTGGACACCTCTCAGAAGAAGCTTCATCATCGAGGGTGAGGTGGAGTTGGACAACGCTGCGAACAAGCTTCATCATTGCGGGTGAGGGCAAGGTCCTCTCAGAATAACCTTTTGTCCTCTCAGAATAACCTTCATTGTCGAGGATTGAGTGGGGTGGGGTGGGAGGTCTCTCAGAATAAGCTTCATAATCGAGGTTGGGTGGGATTCCTCTCAGAATAAGCTTCATCATCGATCTGGTTGCTAGTTGCTACGTTAGAACAGTGATCTGGTTGCTATGTTCAAACCTTCGAAGACCAGTGTAGTGCTCGGGCCATCCAAGACCAGTGTAGTGTCATGCCAAACGGTGGAAGCAGAAACCTCATCAACCAAGAGAGGGCACGAGTACTAGACTTTCACCTTTAAAGGATAATAATGGATGGCAAAGTTAGGCGAGGTGGATTCACAGAAATTACAACTTCCTTTGACATTAATCGTCAAGTGTTCACATAATATGGAAGACAACACAAGACTACAGGGCTAAAGGAGAACGAATCAACATTGCCTCCGAGAAGAAAGGAAGAAGATCAATATAGACATGTTTATATTGTCAAGTCTTCCCTTTCATCAAAAGAGTTCAATCAGAAGCACTGCAACAGCAATGAGAGTGCCTGCATCAACTATACAATGTTTAGTCAAAAGAGAAGACATTAACCCACACTCTAATGCTATTAAACCCCTAGTAATAGCTGCCACCATGCATAATAGGCTGAAGTGGTGCATGAAACATCTCACATAGATGAAAAATGGTATTACATGACAAAAGGTTGCCAAAAGTATGATCCGTTACCAAGTGGAGTGAAGCCATACAAAACAACCAAAAGCAAATGATTCATAGAAAAGTCATGTTTTTATGCACAGTGGCAAGGCCCAAATTCAATAACCAAGATGAATGCTTATTTGGTGGTAAAATAAGAATGTGACCCATTGTGCACATGATGCAGGCACAAACGAAAAGCGAAAACAGACCAAAGGGCACACCAGAACTAAAGCCAATAGTAGTAGTCAATAAACAGGCATATAAGAACACGATAATCAATCACCTACTACCGGCAGTAAAGGAGAAATGGCCTGAGGGAGATTACAACACAATTCAGGGTCACAAACACTTCCTTTTACAAAAATTAAAATCAATTATATGTGTACTGACAATTACACTTGAACGTGTAACTGGACGTGTACAATAGTATGTTTATTTTATACGCAAAATAGAATTATAAACAAAACTATCCGACACATAGACGGAGCCAACATTTAGTATCAATAGTGTCAATAGAGCAAAATAATACTACCTTCGTCCCTTTAAGATTGGGACAAAGAAGAGATGCAACTTTTAAGAATGAATCAAATAATATTAGAAAATAGAATTTGTCAAAATACAGTAGTTATAATATCATGTTAGCGGGTTATATCGTGCAGCTGGGATGTGATCGCCGGCAACATGTGGGAAATGGGAATGAGCGGATGGCAGAGGCGAATGAGGTGACTATGCAATTGCAGAGTTGGAGAGCATGTGTCGTGTGAGAGCAGTGGAGTTGTAGGGTTGCCATCTTTCAATTGTTGAATTAAGTTGGAGTAAGAGGCGCGTGGACCGTGGATTAGCCAACTGCCCAAACTTTTCATTTTGTTGTGACTTTTAAAATACGGAGTATATACATTGGTCCCATTATTATTTACATGGTACCAATTTTTAAGTTTTAAAAGATTGTGTATATGTATATATGGATTTTCTTTCCAGTGGTGTCATTTTTAATTTTTTGAAAAATTACATATACTTATTTTATTTTTTTCAGTGGTGTCAATTGATACCACAAGTATCGATTCATGTTAACCGAACCCCAATATCTTTTGGGATTAAAGCTTGGGTGTTATTTTTTTGGTCAATTGATACCACAAACCCTAAGGTGGCTCTGTCCCTTATCTGACATATTATTATTAACATTATCAATACCATTATTATTATTATTTTGAAAAATCGAGGAGTAGGATACAAACACTTTTTTGTTTGTATACAAACAACTAATGTCTGTGTGCGCAAACAAAAAATATACAAACAACTAATGTTTGTGTATATAAACAAAAAATGTTTGGATACAGACACATTTTGTCTGTATATTGACAACTAATGTTTGTGCTAACAGACATTGGTTTTCGTGCAACCTAACTCTGACATTTCTGCAAAACAAACACAAGTCAATGTGATTTACACGCAAACGAATGTTTGTGTATAGACATCAGTTGTTTGTATACCTATAAATTGTCTGTACTCATATGGAGATGGTGAAGATAGGAATATAGGATGATGAAGATGAAAGAAAGAAAAAAGAGGAAGGGAGAGGAGAAACAAGTATGGGTGGAGAGGAGAGAGGAAGGGAGGGTAAATAAATAATAAAATTTGACCCCACATATAGGGTGTATCCTTGTGTACACCAAACACTGCTGGCCTTTCCACTGTATTTTGTTCCTGCTTTTAAGCTGTGGTAGAAGGGGATACACTCCCCACCTTTGGCGCTACATACCCGCTACCCACCTCTCTCATACACTATGTTATGCTTCTACACCATTTGAGGTGAAAATACCAAATATACACTTTCCATCCCATGGTTGCAACTTGCAACTAGTAGTCTTGTACTCACTTAGCCCCAAAATGATAGTCCTGTAATACCTAAATTGGACTGCTCCAAAATGATAGTCTTGTTTCCATTTAAACTCTTTTTTATAAATCGTTTAAGTAAAGGAGTGAACAGTGCAATAAAATAAGAATGTATAAGACATTCCACTACACTTTCTTAATATTTGAAACCAAAAAATAGACCATCGTTTTGGGGGGAGGGGGTATAGACTAAGTTGCACCTACAAATTTTCCAAACGATAAGTAGAGCATCACAGAATAAAGTAAATTAGTAGTAATCACAAGACCGGAAGCTTTTAAAAGAAACCGTCACTAAACATATTGTACACCATGGGTTACAATGACTTTCTTTTTGCAAAACTATACATGTTTCCCTCTCAAGGCGCCAAAGCAAATGCTCACACAATTCCACATATAAGGCTCAGTATCTGTAGCCTTCATCATCAAACACATAATTGGTGTTCCTGAATTTAGGGCCTCCTTCAGCCTGTAGAAAAATGGATAAAATGGGCTCACAGAGAGAAAGAAGAGCAAGAATAGTGACTAAACCCACATTAGACAAATATTCATAAATTGTCAATGCCTAGGCAGTAGGCACCCTACTGCGATGGCAATGGGACAGGTCCGGGGCAGGTCCGGGGCGGGGGTTCATTACCGCATCCCTGCCCCCATCTCATTCTTCCCCGCACAGCGGGTGACTGTGTACCCCCACCCCCATTGCCATGTTACACCCTACACTTGAAAAGGGCGGAGAGGTCCTAAATTACGTATATAGAACTCTTGGACAAAAATACTACAAGTCATTATGGTCATGCAAAAATCAATGTGAAACAAAAGTTATAAAACATTACTATTGTCAGTGCAGTTACTGCAGAAGCACCAATAGGGTGTAAGGGTCAATGTTCATCCGCAGTCATGTTTTTGTCCATCCTTTTGTTTTTAGTCATACTTTTGTAATTATTCCAAAAAATGACTTACTGTAACAGGTCACGTCTTACCAAATACTCCCTCCGTATCTATTTACTTGTCCCACTTTCCTTTTTTGGTATATCAAATTAATTGTCTCCTTTCATTTTTAGGAAAGAATCCCACTCAAAAAGAAGCTACAGTACCACTACAATACCGCTACAGTACCGCTACAATATCAAAAACCTCTTACTTTTTATAAAGTCTACAGTAATTGTCTTAAACTCTGTGAAAACCAAATGGGTCATCTAATTAGATACGAAGGGAGTAATAATTAAAGGATTATATAAAACCGAAACAGTTTATTCTAAACTATGTCTACTGTCTAGTAGTATATCTGTAAAAAAGAAAACAAGATCAACAGAATGCAACAAAAAGTCTGGAGCCAGGAGAAATAAAGTTCAACAGATAAAGGTCATATACAATACCCTGTGTATTATATCTTCAAATGCTCCACTTCCATGTTCTTGAATGTATTTCTCAGCTGCCGTTAAAATATCATCACGTTTATTGAAACCATCCTTCTTTCGTGGCACGTACCAGATGTTAACTTCTCCTTTAACAATGTATGGCCTAACATAGTGCTCATACACATATGCAGCTCCACTAAAGTAAGGTACGACCAACCAGCATGTAGCAATCAGTTTCACATATGGCCATATTGCAAACCTGTTATGCCGATACTAAATTAGATATTGTAATGTAAGATGCATTTTCAGTAGAAACATTTTCTTTTTGCCCTAACACAACACCAAACAAGCTATAATTTTGTCCAAAAGCTGGTCAGAAATGCCAATAAGTCAATCTAAGATGCATTTTGCATTTCGAAAATCGCGTTTGAGGTTAAAATATTTTGCTTATCAATATTTTAAATTTGACACAGCAGTTTCAGATATTCGAATATCTGAATAAAGAGCTCTCAAAAGTACTTTCACACTGCAACTCTCAAAAATGCTTTTCCAATAAAGAGCATTTTCCAACTGCGTCCTCAATCCCAAACTAGGCCTAAATGTGCATACAAAAGCAAGGGAATAGTAGATGGATAACAAATCTACCACTGAGACAAATCAATTCGTGCTTGTTTAACTATATAAACTTGTTTCATGTGATAATAATTGTTGGAACAAAACATGCACCAGTAAAAAATGCAGAGTTATGAAACTTAATAGAAGCCACCTCAGTGAGTGCAAACTATCGGACATATAGCATTTTTCGATAAAAATTGCATACGAAGAGAAAAATATTGAAGTTGAACTTTGGTTGTATGACTATTTTGCTCTCGTTAAAATTGCAATTACATCAAAAACTGATTAATGATTTCTTAACTTTTTCTTAACACTCAAAATCATCATCTTCATTACTTCATATACTATTTAGGCATCAATAAAAAAAAAGTTAGATAACAATGTCGCTTATCTAATTAAATGTACAGAATAGATGCGAGAAATTAGCCACGATTTAATTTTGAACAAACAAGAAGAGTAAAATTCAAGAATAGATGGTAGAAATTAGCTGCATGTTTCGTTTATCAAACCACCACTAAGGCACAAATGACTATCAGCTTAAAAAATAACAATAATTACGGCGCATTTAAAGGCTGCAATTCACATTGTTAATTTGTTACACATGGTTTCCTTACTTATATTGACATCACATCGCTGCTTCACTTAAGCTCAACATAACCATTTCACCTCACATGTTTACTGAAGGGGCTCTTAATGCATGTACGGATGCACCAACAATAACCTACCTCGATATCTATTTGAGTCCCTTCTAGTATATCCCTCGCGGCCCTTTACGTCCAAATCTTGTCTAAATGACTTGCGGGGCATAGAAAAATAAGGAATAACAAAAGGATTCTGAATTACAGCTAATATATAAAGATTAGTGATTCCAGAAGTGGCATATGTTTTGCGTATGGAGTAGATTTTAGAAAGGATGAATTATGGAAGTATCTTCACTCATGATGCACACAATGTGTTTCCGATTATAGCATTTCCCACCATAAGAATTTGTCTCCAAAGTTTCCTTACGAAGAATCACCTAAAATAGTCATCTATCAATCACTCTTTAATCAACCTCCCTAGTCTACTCTCATCTTCACCTTTTTCCATTGCAGAATGTAGTGAACATAAATAATAAGAAGAAAAAGATAACAAGGAAAAATATTCATGCTTATTATCCTTCTAGTAACTAAGCAATAGCTTCATGGTAAAAATTACTACTTTTACATGAGAAAATGATATATTGTTTATCAACTAATTTTTATTTACGACGGACAATATCCGTAGTCGATAAATATTAGTTGATAAACACATAGCAGAGGGTACAACTAAGACACAAATTCTCAATTTATGAGGGACACAAAATTTACCACTCAAGAACTTTCGCAAACGTAAGTTCAAAAATTGTTATCATAGAGTAGAGAACCCAGTAGGTAAGCCATTGCTGATCATCCACAGGATTCTTGGTCTCAATAGCCCTGATTGAAGCATATCTGGCAACAAAAAGCATTGCAAATATCATTATGGGAGGGTGAAGCAAATGATGGGCTTCCTACAACTAAAATGAAATCTTTTTAATTCATCTCCGTAGACAAACAGCACAAAACTATGGCAGTGTCAAAGAAACGTAAAACAATTAAGCAAACATGAACATAAATCCCACTTACAGAGGATACACCAGACTAACCACGGGCCTGCAATATGATCAATGGTGAAAAAGAATGAGAAACCCCGAATGACGAAACGTGAATAAGACAAAAGCAAAATCTGATTAACCGCCCCACACATTAATCCCGAAGGCTAAGAGTCCCATTTCAACTGGGAATCAAACTAAAATTAAAATCTAAACATGAAATAAAAAATGGCAAACCGCAAAATAACAGATAGATAGGAGGATTAGAGAGACCCGGCAAGAACATCGAAGTTCTGTAGGAGCACTTTGATTAAGCTACCGATCCCTCTAGATCCCATTTCTAATAATCTCTGAAGAGAGGGCAAGTAGTGTTGTTATGATTCTGCTGCTGAAGTGGGACAAAGATTGCTGAGAAGAAGAATGACGGTGGCTCTGGATTTTAATCTGATGAGGTTTCTTGCCGTTCACTCAGATGAAAGCAAAGTGTATGACAACAAAAAGAGCAATGGCTCAGGTTTTTTTTGACTAGGCAAGAAAACACAAAGACCAAAAGGAAGACTTCCGCTGAGTTTTTTTTTTCCCGGATCAAGCCTAATTAATTAAATAATTACGGAATTAATGCTAGATTAAAATTATTTACCAATATACTGTTGGACTTAACTCTGGTCGGGGATAGTCGTCAAACCGGATGGCAACTCGCCAAATCGTTTGACGACTTTCCCCTTCGCAAATACGTTAACACCCAAATCGATCCCAGTGGCAAAAATTTACGTTTTTCGTCCTAAATCAATCCCGATTATCGCAATTCAACGTTTGACGACTTACAGAACACATATAAAACACAATTTGGCAAAAACCATACAAAGCGACACACCTGCTTAGAAACACAATGTAAAAACAGCGTATAGACATTCGATATGCATGACCAAACACATCAACACATCATAAACAAATGAAAAAGTATTAGTAACACAATATACATTAGTTTGCAGGTGAAAATATATTAAAAAGTAAAGTGTTTCTACAAAAACCACAAAAATTGTTAGTGCCTACAAAAACTGGATCCGCTTACACCTTCATAGTGCCTCCAGTAGTTAGTGCCTACAAAACCCACAAAAACGGTTATAATGCACACGACCATTCTGGTGCAAGGGTTGTAGGGTGTGTTTCGGAAAATAAAGAAAATTAATTAAAATAAATTAATTAAATAAAATGTCTAGAGAAAAACAAGAAAGGAGATGAAGCAGAATTAGTCAAAGCTCGTGCTACGCACGATTTCCTTAAAACGTATTTGTTGCCTCTCACGATGCTAGGAGCGTTGCAACAATCGTTTCCCAGGATACGATGACTACGAACTAATGTTTGAGCACACAAACAAGAGTTCCAGCGAACGAGAACCAAGTATGAACACAGAAGGAATTTTGCAGAGTAGCTGTATGTGTTTTTAGCTCAAGAAATTCGTGAGGAAAGTATTGTGCGTTGTGTCAAACCGTGTGTTTGTTGCAAAGCACCTGCCAGCCTTTTAAAGGAGGATTTGTTGTGTGTTAAATGGGGTGTTAATGGACCTGAACGTTGGACATCAATGACCAGTCTGTTGGGCATTGAATCATCCATAAATTGTCCATTTAACACTGCATTAAAAGACAAGAACATTGAGCATTTAATGGTTGTAACGGCTTGGAGCAGTTCTGGTACGCGATAAGAATACCCCCATCAGAGTTGGAGCAGTTCTGGTGCGTGATCAGAGTTGGAGCAGTTCTGATGCTACCAGAAGACCTCCACCAGAGTTGGAGCAACTCTGATGCGAAGCCACCAGAGTTGGAGCAACTCTGATCTGTATCTTTGAATGATAGGTTTTCGGACGACATTCGTGTCCGCAGGTCGCCCGCGCACACGAGTCGCGGTTTTTCTTCTCCGTTTCAGGATTTGATCGGCACCCCCCCCCCTGCGCGTAAGAGAGAGCCTTTACCCTTAGGAATCTTAACTCCTTAAAAGAGGCTTCCCTTTATAAGGGGGTGAAAATCCCTTGAGTTTTTCGGTGTGGGATAAAACACACTAGAAACCCATCATTTTCCCAGTTTTTCCATTTCAACGAGTGAACTTCGAGAATCAATTTCTCATTCACCCGTTATCCGTTTTGAGTGTACCACATATCTAATTGTAGCCCTTAACAAGGACAATCCGAAACCACTTTGACCCGACCCAAATCGGAAGTGGACCCCACTCAAATAATTGCCCCAAAATGACCATTTAATGCAATTTTTAACACATTTTCCCAACAATCCCCCACATGAATGAAAATTGATTTTCGTGACTTAAAAAGACACGAAGATAGGAGGACACGTTGTGTTCACCGGATGATCCTTGCATACGGAGAGGTAGGTTTTAACCTTTGAACCTTCCGTTGTAAAGACACGTTTATTTACTGGCTGTCTAGTAGACTCGATGTCCTTGAACTATACTGCCGTCGTGTAAACATTGACTTATCTTTACACAAGAACCTTCCAACTTTGTTCCGTTCTCATGGGTGTGCCCGTTTTGGCCATGGGTCACCGTCCTGGTTCTGCAAGAGTTTCTAAAGAACTGAGCCTTTACAATTCTCCTTTGAAGCGGCCCTCTTCTCTCTCACATAGGTGATTCTTTCACGAGTATCCCGCATACTCTTCCAATGTTATCGAGTAGATCAACATTTTAGAATCATTAAAGCAAACGTTTTTGCTAACCTCCTGCGGGAGTCACTGTTTTAACGAGGAGTGGGTAGGAGTCCGAGACCCCCACAGTGACCATCCTTCGCTCTATAATTTAGTTATCCCTTTTGAACCTAGGACCAACTAGGTTGGGTATCCACTATAGAACTTTTCAATTCACGGGCTTTAGTCCCATTCCTCGTGACAACTTCTCCAACAATTCTCTATCCAATGTCTTGGTTAGCGGATCCGCTATGTTATCCTTTGACTTCACGTAGTCAACAGTGATAACACCCGTTGTGAGGAGTTGTTTAATGGTGTTATGTCTACGACGAACGTGTCTAGACTTACCATTGTAGAGATTGCTTTGTGCCCTTCCAATTGCCGCTTGACAATCGCAATGTATGCATATTGGAGGGACAGGCTTCTCCCAACTTGGAATATCCTCGAGAAAATGGCGTAGCCATTCAGCCTCTTCAGTGCACTTATCCAAGGCTATTAGCTCAGATTCCATCGTGGATCTAGCTATTAACGTTTGTTTCGAGGATTTCCACGACACGGCTGCACCTCCCAAAGTGAAAACATATCCACTTGTGGATTTAGAGTCCTTTATGTCGGATATCCAACTAGCGTCGCTATACCCTTCAAGTACAGCTGGATATCTTCCATAGTGCAGTCCAAGATTTTGGGTTTTACGTAAATACCTCAAAACCCTTATTATTGCCTTCCAGTGTTCATCATCGGGGTTGCTAGTATATCTACTTAGCTTACTAACCACAAAGGCAATATCAGGCCTGGTACAACTCATTAGATACATCAAGCTTCCAATAATCCGAGCGTATTCTACTTGAGAAATACACTCTACACGATTTTTGGCAAGTTGTACGTTTTTATCTAATGGAGTCCTTGCCTCTTGATAATCATCCTTGTTAAATTTCGTAAGGATTTTATCAATGTAATGGGATTGGCTTAGCGTAAGACCGTCAGGTCCTCTAATTATTTTAATCCCAAGGATTAAATCGGCCAACCCCATATCCTTCATGTCAAATTTAGAATTTAACATGCTTTTGATAGAATTAATCATTAGATTATTGCTACCCACGATGAGTATATCATCCACGTATAAACATAAAATGACATAGCCGTCTACCGTGCTCTTCACATAGACACATTTGTCACTTTCGTTTATTTTAAACTCATTAATTAACATTGCATGATCGAACTTTTCGTGCCACTGTTTAGGGGCTTGTTTCAATTCGTACAATGATTTAATTAATTTACACACTTTCCTTTCTTGGCCTGGAACACGAAAGCCTTCGAGCTGTTCCATATAGATTTCTTCGTCTATATCGCCATTTAGAAAAGCGGTTTTTACGTCCATTTGATGAACTTCCAATTTCCGCAATGCGGCAATTGCTAGTATCATCCTAATGGAATTTATTCTCGTCACAGGAGAATACGTGTAAAAGTAATCATGGCCCTCACGTTGTTTGTATCCCTTGATTACAAGTCTGGCCTTGTACTTATCGATGGAACCGTCAGGTTTCATTTTCCGTTTAAAAATCCACTTGGATCCCAAAGGTTTATTTCCCGGAGGAAGATCAATCAATTCCCATGTGTGATTTTTAAGGATAGAATCCACCTCACTTTTGATGGCTTCTTTCCACATAGGACCTTCAGTAGACGTCACGGCTTCCGTATAAGTCCGTGGCTCATTTTCTACCAAACATGTTAGAAAATCCGGTTCATTTTCTACCATACATGTTAGAATATCCGAGTCAACTTCTACCAGGTAGGTGAGAAAATCCGGTCCGAAGGATTTTTCAATTCTAGCACGTTTGCTACGTCTGGGTTCGGGTTCTTCTCCGGAGCCCTCGCTAGTATTTTCCATAGCTACGTCAAATGTTCGTTTTGACGTGCTAGGCCCTTCGTTGGACTTGCATGGAAATACATCTTCAAAAAATGAGGCATTCCTTGATTCAATTATTGTGTTTTTATGTACATCCGGATTATTTGAATCGTACACTAAAAACCGATAGCACTACTATTTTGTGCATATCCAATAAAAATAGAATCCACCGTTTTTGAACCTATTTTTATTTTCTTAGGTGTTGGTACAAGCACCTTTGCAAGACACCCCCACACTTTTAAATATTGATAGGAAGGCCGTCTGCCTTTCCACAACTCGTACGGAGTTTTATCATATTTTTTCCGGGGAACCTTATTTAAAAGGTAATTGCTTGTCAAGATTGCTTCGCCCCACATATTTTGTGGCAAGCCCGAACTTACTAGCATCGCATTCATCATATCTTTCAATGTGCAATTCTTTCGTTCGGCAACACCGTTTGATTGAGGTGAATAGGATGCGGTACGTTCATGTACTATACCCACACTAGCGCAAAAGTCACCAATTGGTGCTTCATACTCACCACCTCGATCACTCCTAACCGTTTTAATCCGTCGATTAAGTTAGTTTTCCACTTCATTCTTATAAAGAATGAATTTATCGATTGCTTCGTGTTTATTTTTTAATAAATAAACGTAGCTATAACGAGTGCTATCATCGATAAAGGTAATAAAATATTTATTACCACCACGTGTTTGTATTGATTTAAAATCACAAACGTCACTATGAATTAATTCAAGTGGTTCCGTTTTTCTTTCAACCGATTTGAAAGACGTTTTCGTTAGTTTTGCCTCTACACAAACTTCACATTTGTGCTTCACATCAATTGTGAATTTAGGAATGTGCTCCATGTTAATTAATCTACGTATAGAATTAAAATTAACATGTCCTAGTCTACCATGCCACACATTGGAAGACTCAAGCAAGTAAGCAGGA